ATATCCACAAGAGGGTTTTCTTCGAAACGCGTAAATTTCGAATTAACACATGCAGTCTTGTGAATGTAGGCATTGTGCTATTACCAGCACGGCGTTAAAGTATACAAGTATCATACAATTTGGGCTAAGATAGCAAATAAACAGAGAGTAATTTTTAATACTTAAAGTTTCTGTGTCAAAGTGTTTTGATGATACAATTCACTAAACGATAAATGGGATTTTCTTGGAGGAATTTTCTATTAAAATAGCTAATGGCAATGACATTTAATATAAACTTGACTAAAATAAGGCTAATTTACTAGCAACCTCAAGTCTTACATCTTTATAGTCTATGTCGATGTTTCTATTGACACTGGCATAAAACATTTCAATAATTTCCCGCCATATTTTCTCTAATTAGAATAAGAAACAATTGAATTGTATGTATAATATAATTATTTTTAATGTTTATTTACTATATTTAAATTACTTACTTTTAGTATAGTTTAGATGTACTTCGTAGGGTCCACTTCTGTGCGGTGGAACTTCATCATATTCAATGATCCAAGTTAATTTTCGGCGTTGCAGCGGTGAAGGTAGTGCCATCTTTTGCTCAGCTTATGTACTGTTTCATTTTGTAGCACAAACGTTATAAAGGTTTCTTCGTTTGGACGTAATTTTTTAGTTTATATCATAGAGTACATTATATGATATGATTTAAACATGGCCACTACATAATAGAAGTCGTATGAATTCTTAGTATACACTATGCTAATCTGAATAACGTTTAAGGGCGATTAATATTATTAAATTTATTATTAACCATACAATGGAACGATAATCACATGTTTAATGGTTTTTCGTGAGGCGGACGGACGATCACTTACAAAGGGTTTGAAATAAAAATACTATCCTTATATTAATCTTCGTATCAAGCAAGCATAATAATCGTAAATAATATGATAAAACCAAACTAGATCGTATTTTAAATTAAAGGCTACCTAGAATAAAATTCACTTCACTTTCACTGATCGCACACCTCTTTGATACCGGACCGCATGCTTTTTCTATGTTTTTTATTCGCTGAATATGCGGTTATTTTTAAGTCTCGGGTCCGCGTTAGCCTTGAATGAGAATCGAACAGCCCATTGCCCATTAGTAAATATTATTTAGAACTTTTAGGCTTTGATGATGAATTAAAAAAATATGATTTAAAATATAAAACTCATTAACCACGACTGCTTAAAATAATTCAAAACGATTTCGACGTCACGTATGTTAAAATATATATGATATATCTATACGCTTATACTAATTATATTTTAACTATGTAAAATATCCTTTAAAAAGGGGGATAAACCGAATAATATGACAAACAAAAAACATACCTATGGTATGTTAGATTCTATTATTGGCATTTTGTAAATACAAATCAGGATTAATAGTAAATCTACATTGCAAATTTAAATGAGACTACATACAATGTATTATTAGATGTATCGTGAGTGGGATTATAAAGATAGAGGCGACCCCAGTCCAGCAGGTTCAGCTCAATATACTACTCGCTACCGCCATGTTAGTCTTTTTATCATACCACAGACTCGCGACGACTACGCGCCCTACTGCTTATTTAAATCTAACTAAAATCTCATTGTTACTAATGCCAATAAAACTATACACATACATTATTATATGTATATTTAAATTAATTTATTAGAAGCGTTTAACTGGAGAGAGTTTTGTATATGAGCCATAGAGTCACTGAAGATCAAGCTTTGTTAAAGCTATGACCTTTGCATGCCCCTTAAGGAATGATAGGCATTTCAATTTATATAAAGTGATTTCAGAATAAATTACCAATGCGGGTCGTTTAACATATTATTTATGAGTAATAACCAGTAGGAAGATACTAGGTTCAAATGTAAAATAAGTACTAAGGCATAGTGTGGGGTGTTTTAAGGCCAAATATTATAAAATTGTGCCATCTGAAATTCCTCTTAAGGTTCTTAAGAGATAGAAATTACTGAGGCGCAAATACAGTCTTACGACATAAGTCTTTGACCTAACAGTGAAATGTCATCGCCATGTGGGAATGTTTATCCGTCGAGTCCTATAATTGAAATTAAAATTTGCGTTGCGATCTGGAATCGAACCCTATACTTCACGGGCCCTTTGTTGTTTATGTACCTTTTTATGAATACATATTTATAAAATTTCAAAGATACGTTATATGATAATTTTAACTTTGTACAATAAACACAGTGGAAAGAAAAAAAGTTTTTATCAGATTATCTTTTGTTTTTTTAATTTAAAGATAATTTGGTCATGACATTTTAAGATTGTGATAGTGAAGTTATTTATCATCTATGTGGTATTAATTTCATATGAAGTCAACCGCTATTTATGTAACTGACTAAATGTTGAACTCTTTTAAATTATTACCACTTTACCACTTAGGCGTAATCTACGTATATACCTAATTCGCATAATTTTACGTGTTACAGTTGTAATAGAATGCTTCCCTTTTAGAAATGTTAAAGTAAATTAATCATTATTTTAACGGAATTTAAATCTATCAAAATAACGATTTACTGTGTTATGTAGCTGTTTAATACATACAATGTTATTGATATTATAATCCTTAATTGTTAAATCGTTTTGGTTTACTGTCCGACCATAAATAATCCATGGAAAATGTAAGCTGATTAGTTAAATATTGACTAATTATATTTCGTTAACCACAGACAGTAAACGAGTCAGTCGCTAACAGGCCAAATGCTACAGAATAACTTCATCAGAATATTGTCAAGGTCACCGACTGACTTTCGTGTTTTCGCGTCGCGAAAAACCTTGCTTCCTTGTATGTAAACAACAAACAAATGCTGAGTTCATCCACAGAGTAATTAAACAATTTTTAAGTCGTTTGATTGAAAGGCTAAGTTTGAAATACATATACCTAAATGTTAAGAATAAAAAATAAATACACTGCAAACAAGAAAAATATAGACTTGCTTATAGACAATATGAAATTTTAGTTGTATTTAAATATATAGGGCGAATTTAACATGCTAATTACGTGTTATTCATTAAATTCCTACGTAATATTACAATTATTTAATCGTTAACTTTATTATTATTATCTAATCGCGTCCGCCTGGGCTCAAAATGTAGAACATATGCAACTAATAAATAAGTGGTTATCACTGGCACAGTGCACTTTATCATAGACCATCATGATACACGACACTCACTTCGATTAATTCAACTATTTGGACGCGAAGTAATCACGACACGTGCTTACCACATGCCGCCTGTGGGCATACTATCAAATAGTATCAAGTATTTTGTATATTATACTATAATAATTCAAAAAGAGCGGGAAATACCGGTTCAAACAACGAAAAATCGCATATATAAAACTTTATAAGGGATATTAACGCGAATTTATTACATTATCCACATAATTTGACGACGAGAGCTTTCATGTCGTTTATTTTTATTCATTGAAGTGTTATCTCTGTATTTTCAATTTTACAATTAACGAGACTGAAAATAATATTAGTTAATCAGTTGCAGAATATGTCATGTTATTTGGGAAACGTTTTAAGTGGCTTATCTTACCAAACTGATACTAAACGTTTGCTTATACTAATCTATTCTATACTCGATTCTGACAAATGTACGGCAACTTCTATGCGGGTTGCGATAAAGGTGAATGGCAGGTGTTTTGACACAGCAGTGAATACTCAGTATCGTATAATCAATATAGTAACAAGAATATATTTTAATACCAAACATTGTTTGTGACCGGCATATAGTTGTAATAATAAATACGCTCTATACTCTATACTTATTTAAAGACCAAAAGCTGAACGCACGGTTGCATTAAATATCACATAAACGTATGGTTCGTTGGTTCCTATATTATAAATATTCAATGTACTTTGCGTTAGTGATTAAAGAAACCCACAGGGCGGTCAACGACCCAGCGGTCTATTGGCCCTATGATTGATCAATGATCGCAATCAATATTTGTCATAATTACGAATGAAGCAGTAGCGACGGAATGCTGATGGGAATCGCCTTTATGGGACAGGACGCAAACGAGCAGTCACTTTGAATAAAGTGCTAACCGCCGTCAATAGTCACCTGCTAGGGGCTTGCGTGCGTTGCTAGCCTTGGAGGGTATGGTTGTATCGGTTCGGAAATACCTCTAGTGGCAGCTTGTTCCACAAAGAGTCTGTAAATATTTCAAAACTGTATACTACTTATACGCAATAATGTATGTAAATGATATTGTGAGTAACTCTTGTCCACCCTATGCCTTGGTTTGAATATTATGGTGGGCATGCATACCAGATGTACAATAATTTAAAATAAAATTAAATGGACATCTATAGTAGAAACCGAATACTGTTAAGTGGATAATTAAAAATAGTTTGCTATTCGCGACATGAAAGTTCAGATCAAGTTCAAATATAAAATCAGAGATGGCGCGAATAACAATTAAATTTTGATTATTTTTATTTTAGTTATTAAGTATGCATTATGAATACTTATTTATTGAATTTTATAATTTATACGCCTTCAGAGGATATAACTCATATTACATAGTCAAAACATATTTTAGAGCATATATCAAATAATGCAACTAAAAACAAATATCATTTTTAACATCCAAATTACTCTAAGTCTCAAATTTATAATGCATAAATGACCTGAAGACTGAATGTCGGCGTGAGGAGGGAGAACAAGGCGGCGCCACTCGCACCCAACACCAGCCCTGCTCCCTGGGGCAGGGCGGCATTCGCAATTGCGAAATAGTTTACTTTTTTTACTTTCATGTTATTGTTTTAACTATATGACATATCAGCGCGACAATAACGCTGTCACTTCACACTTCGAGATAAAATAAAACAAAGAGTCTTAAACTGTAAGTTCACAGCTCAGACATAACTGTTCAACACTCTGTAATCAGTAGCAACACAATACAAGATTGTGTGCTTACAAAGAACCAAGAGTTAGGAACTCAAATCTTCATCGTCATCGGTGTCTGAGTAGCTGGGTTCGCTCTGCCCTTCAGATAGCAACTCTAATTTGACCCCTCCACTGCCCTCTTCTGTCCCTTCCTCGATGAATACATCTGCGCTCCTAAACTCTATGCCCGCATTTGAACTCCGTACCTGAAATGCAATAGTAGGTACGTTTTTTTAGATGTGATTGAAATATTAATTATATTAACCGTTTGAATTCAGACATCTTAAACTAGATTTTAAGCCTAGGCAGAAGAAGAATAGGCAGATATTGGGCGCTAACCTGTTGAATGACTTTAAGTATTTCCACCTTCGCTGTAAGCTTCTCATTGTCTGACATCTTTCTAAAAGTGGGAATCAGCGACATAAGAAAATGCCTGTCTTCATCTATATTCTCTGCCTTCGGTTGAATGCATGGCTGTAACTGAAAAATAATTCCATAGAATAAAATTACTAAACAGGTACTGTTTTAATGTTAAAGACTTTATTTGATAAAATATACCTTCTACTCTCACAACATTTGCCGCGTTTTGAACTAACCTAACCTACCAACTACCATTTAAAAAAAACAGATTTATTATATCTGATATATTAATTAATAAAGAACAAACCTTGCGCTTGCGTTTCTTGAGGCGTGTTGGCTCTGGTGGCCGCGGCGTGTATTGCGTTTCGGTCGCGGGGACGTCTATGATGTCTCCTGTATCTGACGGATCTGTTACGTTAGATGACTGTGGTCGTATCAGTGGCGTTTGTTGAGATGTCGCAAAATGTCGCAAGATGTCGAGGTCGTTGCTATTCGGATAGTAGTAGCCATGAGGTTGATGCAATTCTGTTAAAATTTGAAGAACTCTGCTCTGAAAGATTAGTGATTTATTGTCATCTAATAGTTCAAGTGATGGTAGAATACCTTTAAAAAAAGATATGTGTCTATTCTCAGGTTCCTCTAAAATCTTTACAATATCATCTTCAAATTTATTATTAACCATCTTTCTTTTTGGTGGCTGCCTTTGGTAACGTGTTTTAGATGTACCTTCTTGATTATCTTGCTCATTTTCTGACTCATTTATACTAGTAGTGGTCTGATTTTGAAATTTTTTCTTAAGAAATTGTAATTGTTTGTACAGATGGTATTCTTTTATATTTTTGGATCCAGAGCCTGACCTACTTGCATCTTTGAGTTTATTTTCATATTTATTAAAGGTATCCTTAATCCCCCTCCATTTTTGTATTACTGAATTACCTGCAAAAAAAATAATAGACAATATTTTATTCATTTATTTATTAATCTTTATTATTCATCAAATACCAACTTAACGCTAGAAGCGTTGTCTACCAATTAATCAAATTAAAATAACTTATGTGTGTTTCTGTCGTTTAAGGTTAGTGTTCTTTACTTTTCAAGTTTGTCATATAAATTAATCCTTTTTTTTCTATTTATGTAACAGATTCCTAGCGACCGGAAATGAAATCAGAAATATACATTTAGATTATTATCGAGAAATAAGTACAGTTGCTAAGATAATACGAGTAGTTTGTAATGCAATATGGAAATTTTGTTTAAATGCAAACATACCAAAAATAACACAACAGCTGTTTGAAGAAATAGCTGCGGACTTTGACAAGAAAGCCAACTTCCCTAACTGTATTGGAGCCGTTGATGGGAAACATATTCGTATTCGTAGTCCCCCAAAAAGTGGATCACTTTTTTTTAATTACAAGGGCTACAATTCAATAGTTTTGTTGGCTATTTTGGACTCGAAATACAGATTCATCTATGTGACATAGGAGCATATGGAAAGGAAAGTGACTCCACTATTTTCCACAACACGAAACTGACTTACTGATGAGAGGTGATTTGCCTACACCAAGATCAAGGCCGTTACCGGGTTTTTGTCGGAGACGAAGCTTTTTCTATTTCGAATAATGTCATGCGTCCTTATTCTGGCAAGCATTTGTCTTTTAAACAAAGAGTATTCAACTACCGTTTGAGTAGGGCAAGAAGATATGTCGAGTGTACCTACTTTCGGCATACTGGCCAATAAGTGGCGAATAATATACGTGGCCCATTAACGTTTCATAATATGATTTTGCAATAGATATTGTTAAGGCTTGTTGCATACTACATAACTTTGTAATTAACCGTGATGAATTAGACACTCTAACTCTACTATTGAAATATAAAAATAGATGATTCCGAACTACAACCACTTCAATAAGGGTTGAATGTAGGTAGTCAAGTGGTTAGTGCAAATATAATTAGAAACGAATATTCGGATTACTTTACTAGTGAAGTTGGAGCATTAAGCTGGCAACTACAAAAAATTTAAGAATATACAAGCCGTCGGAAATATCTGCGAACCTCGCTGGAATGCGCTTCCCCTGGCGCCCCCGCACCCCGCCCCGTTTTCGCATATCCAGTACCGTTGCCAACGCAATCGCCGACGCCGCACGTGTATTATTCTTGCTTTCGTAATCGCATTTTAGTGTTTATTGTTTCTCTGTTTGGTGAAATATTACATAAGCTACCTATTTAGTGCTGTATGTAAGATGGGTAGGTACGAGTATCAATAAAAATAAGTACACAAATAAAATATTTTTTATTTTTACATCTTCAATTTTTTTGCTATCTCTCCAGTTTGTATGACGTCATTAAGCCAGGTTCGCAGATATTTCCGACGACTTGTACAATGCGACTTGCATTGTTGCTCGCGTTCTTGGTAATAAGTCAATACAACAGGTACAAAAGGATCACATCGTAAAACATTAATATAAAGTAATAGTGGCGGAGAGTTTATTGCCAGTTCTTCTCTTCCGTTCTACGCCCTTGATTTGAGAACTGGCACTAAATGTAAAATTAGAAGCATTGATATGTATATCTTTACTGACAAGTCATAAGTGTACAATGTGTTACCTATATGATTAAATGATTTTTCATTTGATTTTGATTTAACTCGCTGTTGACGCCTAAACATGTATAATACGTCGGAAATATCTGCGAACCTCGCTGGAATGCGCTTCCCCTGGCGCTTCCCCGCACCCCGCCCCGTTTTCGCCTATCCAGTACCGTTGCCAACGCAATCGCCGACGCACGTGTATTATTCTTGCTTTCGTAATCGCATTTTAGTGTTTATTGTTTCTCTGTTTGGTGAAATATTACATAAACTACCTATTTAGTGCTGTATGTAAGATGGGTAGGACTATACATAGTGCATAAGTATCAATAAAAATAAGTACACAAATAAAATATTTTTTATTTTTACATCTTCAATTTTTTTGCTATCTCTCCAGTTTGTATGACGTCATTAAGCCAGGTTCGCAGATATTTCATATGAATAGAATGTTTGATTTGTATGTAGTTTTAGTAAAAAGTAAAAAGGAGTTATACTTAATAAATGTATTTGTGTACTTACCAAGTTTAGTTTTTTCATTGTTTTCTTTTTCCTCGAAATTTGGAAATAAACTTTTACACACGTCTTTCCAAGCATCATGTTTGATGAATTTGTTTTTATAATCTTCATTACTAGTGTCCCAAAGAATAGGGCGCTCCTCAATCAGTGATATTAAAAAGTCAACGTCGTATTCTGTCATTTTTAAAGTACACGTCTAGCCCACACGCTTTCCCTGAGCGAACTAAAATGGAGTCAAGTGTCAACAAGTGTGACGCATCATCGCAGGAATGCGCGATGCGAATCGATTCGCAAGTTCTTGCGATGCGAAGAGGGAGATCGCAAATTTTTGCGAAACTTTAGGGCGTTTTCTTTTTTTTTCATAACTGCGTAATATCCTATGGCGAAATAACACAAGGCTTCTTACTCGGAACAAGACATGTTTGCGACTGTTTTGCTTGCTAATCGATCAGCACCAACGAGCCGCGAGCCAGGTTCGTCGGTATTTAAAACCACCGTCTTACTCGCCCGTCGATCATAGGCTTTAGGCATCTCCTGGACAGGCGTACCCTCCAATAGGCCACATCTCACCTCTCACACCTTTTAACATCAGATGGGATTGTGGCCAAAGGTCTGTCCAGTTCTGTATAAAAAAAATAGTTTAAATTTCTTATAGGTATACCTTTAACTTCTTTTTGAATTTCACTTAATCTCTTTCAGGGATTAAGGATTTTGCGACTTCCTTCCATACTTTGGTCCTAAATTAAAAGTTTGTTCTCTCCGTGTTGTCTTTCTCGTACAAAACTGGCCATTTTTGCACTTCTTTTATGATATTTAATGGCTGTATTTCTTCTAAAATCTTCTTATTCTTTGGCATCGTCATAACTTCAATGTATCAATCGCGTGAATAGTAGTTACAGTATTAATTCAACTATTTGGACGCGAAGTAATCACAACACGTGCTCACCACATGCCGCCTGTGGGCATACTATCAAAATAGTATCAAGCATTTTGTATATACTATAATAATTCAAAAAGAGCGGGAAATACCGGTTCAAACGTGAAAGTGATTTTAACGCGAATTTATTACATTATCCACATAATTTGACGACGAGAGCTTTCACGTCGTTTATTTGTTATTCATTTAAGTGTTATCTCTGTATTCTCAAAATGACATTTAACGAGACTGAAAATAATATTAGGTAATCAGTTGCAGAATATGTCATGTTATTTGGGAAACGTTTTAAGTGGCTTATCTTACCAAACTGACACTAAACGTTTGCTTATACTAATCTATTCTATACTCGATTCTGACAAAATTTATACTTCTATACTTGTCAAACGTACATGCGTACGGCGACTTCTATGCGGGTTGCGATAAAGGTGAATGGCAGGTATTTTGACATAGCAGTGAATACTCAGTAACGTAAAATCAATATATGTACTAACAAGGATATATTTTAATACCAAAGATTGTTTGTGACCGGCATATAGTTGTAGTAATAAATACGCTCCATACTCATCTGTTTATTTATTTACAATAACACATTATTGTAACCAAATATATAATTAGTTATTAAAAGACCGAAAACTGAACGCATGGTTGATGGTAGCATTAAGTATCACAATGGTTCGTTGGTTCCTATATTATAAATATTCTATGTACTTTGCGTTAGTGATTAAAGAAACCCACAGGGCGGTCAACGACCCAGCGGTCTATTGGCCCTATCAATGATTAATGATCGCAATCAATATTTGTCATAATTACGAATGAAGCAGTAGCGACGGAATGCTGATGGGAATCGCCTTTATGGGACAGGACGCAAACGAGCAGGCCAGTCACTTTGGATAAAGTGCTAACCGCCATCAATGGTCACCTGCTAAGGGCTTGCGTGCGTTGCCGGCCTTGGAGGGTATGGTCGAATTGTTTCGGAAATACCTGTACTGGCAGCTGGTTCCACAAAGAGAGTCTGTAAATATTTCTCCAATTTCAAATATGTTTATATGCAATAATATATAAAAAATTGTTTGCAAATAACTCCTATCCATCGACCATTCTAATCAGTTTGAGTTGGTATGACTTTGAGGTTTCATAAACTAACACAGACACAGTGCACGATCATAACAACTTTCAGCTACACTCTCAAATATATGCGCATACACACCTATTCACACACTCACTCATTCACTTCATTTGTAACACTAAATTTATAACTATTATTATTAATTTTTTTTTATTGTCATCTTTTTTTAACTAATTTAATACATGTACCACGTAATCATTGTTTTCTAGTTACCCACAACACAGGGCCTCCCTAGTGTGGGGACTAGCGATATATGAATTCTGTCACAAACCCTTTTGTCAAGCATAAAGTTTTTATTATTATTAGTATACATTTAAGGGACATCTATAGTAGAAACTGAGTATTTAGTGGATAATTTAAATACAGTTTGCTATACGAAAGTCATGATCAAGTTCAAACTTAAAATCAGAGATGGCGCGAATTATAATATTTTATGTTTTATTTGTTTTCATTAATTTATTAAGTATGCATTATTATTAAAACTTTTTCATTGAATTTTATAATTTATACCTCTTTAGAGTATATAACTCATATTACTTAATCAAAACAAATTTTGGAGCATATATTTGATATATATAATGCAACGAAACACGAATAACATCCCAAATTACTCTGTCTCAAATTTATAATGCATAAATGACCTGAAGACAATGAATGTCGACGTGAGGAGGATAACAAGGCGGCGCCACTCGCACCCAGCACCAGAACTGCTCCCTGGGGCAGGGCGGCATTCGCAATTGCGAAATAGTTATACCTAATATATATATATATATGTAAATATTGTACCTACCTTCATTTATCTAACTTACTTATTTCCCAAATGGTTTGGGGTAAGTGGACAGTTAAACCTGATCCAGGAACGGGTTTATTAGTTCCAACCTCACCAGCCGTAATCGCCGTTTTCATAATAAACATGGATTTACATTTCAAATTGTTATCCTGAGATTGTGTACAATACCTACAATAAACAAACACAAAGTTCGTCTCTGTAGGGCGTTTGGTGGTGCCACGCTGTACTGGCACCGCCCGGATCGCCCGCCCTTCGTCAGTGTTACGCTTCCGTCCAGCCTCTGCTCTTCAAACAACTTACAATTCCTTAATCTATCATCGTTGTTTCGTAAAATCTACTACTTAAGATCTACGCGTGTGTGCGTGTGTATTTCGAAATGCTAGTAGCACGGGAAATTATTGTTATGAAATTGGTGGATTTATACACATAATTCAACAATGAATGGAAGATCTGATGCGTCAACTTCGACGGATGACGTGCTGAAGGTAATCAGGAGGATTTTTAATTTGAAAATTTTTAATTGTTGTTCTTACCTAACAGTTGTACTGAGTACTGTAGCTTTATTATTAAGTTGTTTGAATAGCGCTTTTATTGTTTATATACTTCAAAGTATCTAAGGACATTCAAAAAAACAGCAAACATATTGTCATACAATAAAACGATTTGACTCTGCAGTTTTTTTAATTTAAAAATCAAAGACAGTTTTTACTTAGGTATATTAAATTAGAAATATATAATTAGATAGGGGCAAAGAGACAGGAGGCTGATCTGATGGTTATTTATTTATTTCGTAATCCTACGGCTAACATGATACACATTATAATATATAACAAAAAACCAAATAAACTAACGATAGACAAAGATGGAAACATTTACAAAATAATTTTACGTGATACCGCACATAGACACTGAAATCGCAAGGGCCTTTAAAAATTGGTACGCTCTTTTCTTGAAGGACCCTAAGTCGAATTGGTGGTTTGCTGGTGAGCCAACGTGCAGTAGATAATGGAACCTATCATTCAATAAATTTAATAGGACTGCAACATACTACTTTAATTGAAATTCTTTACTGGCGAAACTGAAAATTTGTGCTACCACCTCGTTTGCCTATATAGTGTAATAAAAGCATATTATGTGTTTCAGGGTCAACCGCTGTGTCTCTTTTACTTCACGCATCCATTCGGCGTGGTGTCACCGGAGCCACCGCTGGTAACAGTGCCGCCGCCGCACTTGGCGCGTTGCTTTGCCAACACGCCTTTTAGCACCTCAACGCCGGACTACTGCTCCGACTCAACGCCACTTGACGAGCTGCTGCGCCGGGACTCCTTCTCCTCGCTGCTCTCCAGCTCGTTATGGCTGAGCTCGGGGAGCGGCGAGCGGCGCGTGCTACCATGCCATAGACTTCCTCCATTGCGATTGCCCTCCCCGCCGCCAGTTCCAACGCCGGCCAAAGCCCTCGCTCCCGCACCGCCCGACAGAGTTTTCTTGCCCCCGATACAACTTTCCCTAGGAGCTCCCGACGCAGATCGAGAATGGTTTAGGGATGTGACAAAACGGCCAAAGCTCAGCGGCGTGCGCAGGATGTTGACCGGGTTGGTGCGAAGAAATATTGAAGGTATGAACTTAGTTATTAATTACTTAATCAAATGTTAAGTACATTATTACTCTGATTAAGCTTACATTACCATTTAACACTGGGTGCAGTGTTGGCCTAGTGGCTTCAGCGTGCGACTCTTGTCCCTTAGGTCGTAGGTTTGATCTGTGTGTGCTTTGTTTATACATCAAATGATCTAAGGATCTAAGCGTTAAGGCTAGATCTGGGATCACACTGCACCTTCTTTTAAATTTACCACGGAGACAGTTCAAAGGAGTTGTTTACATTAATAATTCTGCAAATGATAACAAACGGTCATCATGTTCGTTATCATTCAAACAAATGATTATAAAACTGATACAGAAATCTGAGGCGACACTGGTATTTTCTTTAACCATTTAACAGACTTCTTGGATGCTAAATAAAAGGCGAGAGAAAATAGTATAAAGTATATTTGAATCCATCTTACATTTACGGTAGAGTCATCCTATAATTAGCTACGATAACAATGAGAAGAAAGATTACTACAATAAGTAGGAGAGCGGAGGCCAGCGCAGAGAACGCAGAGGCTTCGAATGAAGCAAGAGCTGCTTGAACGCTCACTGCCGCCGTCAGTGCAAATAATACCGCGCTCCATACCGCCATGAACCAAATGTACACCTCGCACAATGCGTCGCTTTCGTGAACAGCGGCAGCTATCAGAAGTGCGTGTGCAGCTGCCAAGAGCACACCTGACGCTCCGCAGAAATAGCGAACGAGCTTTAGCAGTGATGTTCCCACTACACCGCTTGATGCTAGCCGGCGCGCACCTTCCGTGCTACCAACCCACAAAAACCCTCCGGCGCCTATCAGTCCGACAACGCCACTCGCTATTGTTGCCACTCGTAGTGGAACACAACAGCAGCAAGAATGCATCACGGGGCACTCGTCCAGAATATATACCATATTTAAGCGTCGTAGACTATATTGAAAGCTTACATGTGACTTGCCGTGAATAAAGTTTTCGATACTTTCATGTTATTGTTTTAACTATATGACACATCAGCGCGACAATAACGCTGTCACTTCACACTTCGAGATAAAATAAAACAAAGAGTATTAAACTGTGAGTTGACAGCTCAGACATAACTGTTCAACACTCTGTAATCAGTAGCAATATAATACAAATTTGTGTGTTGTATACAAAGAGTTAGGAACTCAAATCATCATCGTCATCCGTGTCTGAGTAGCTGGGTTCGCCCTGCCCTTCAGGTAGCAACTCTAATTTGACCCCTCCACTGCCCTCTTCTGTCCCTTCCTCGATGAATACATCTGCGCTCCTAAACTCTATGCCCGCATTTGAACTCCGTACCTGAAATGCAATAGTAGGTACGTTCATTTAGATGTGATTGACATATTAATTATAATAACCGTTTGAATTCAGACATCTTAAACTAGATTTTAAGCCTAGGCAGAAGAAGAATAGGCAGATATTGGGCGCTAACCTGTTGAATGACTTTAAGTATTTCCACCTTCGCTGTAAGCTTCTCATTGTCTGACATCTTTCTAAAAGAGGGAATCAGAGACATAAGAAAATGTTTGTCTTCATCTATCTTCTCTGCCTTCGGTTGATTGCATGGCTGTAACTGAAAAAAAAAAATTATAGTATAAAATTACTAAACTGGTACGGTTTTAAAGTTAAAAACATTATTTGATAAAATATACCTTCTACTCTTACTACATTTGCCGCGTTTTGAACTAACTAAATATACCATTTAAATAAACCAGATTTATTATATCTGATGTATTAATTAATAAAAAACAAACCTTGCGCTTGCGTTTCTTGAGGCGTGTAGGCTCTGGTGGCCGCGGCGTTTCGGTCGCGGGGACGTCTATGATGTCTCCTGTATCGGACGGCGAAACGACATGCGGCATCAGAAATGACATGTGTTTGTAGTAGACGTATGGCCGCCGCGGAGAATCCGTTCCGCCGCCGGTGCGCTGCGCCCGCCGTTCAGCTTCCACATGTCTTCGGAACGTATCGCGAAGGTTACGCCACTTCTTGCTTAGATCCGACACTGCCAAGGCGAAACAATAATTTAGTTATTCTAAACATGAAAGAAATCAAATATTACTGCGTCGTAGGCATCTCCTGGACAGGCGCACCCTCCAATAGGCCACATCTCACCTCTCACACCTTTTAACATCAGATGGGATTGTGGCCAAAGGTCTGTCCAGTTCTGTATAAAAAAATAGTGTTAATTTCTTATAGGTATACCTTTAACTTCTTTTTGAATTTCACTTAATTCTTCCCAGTCAGGGATTAAGGATTTTGCGACTTCCATCCATACTTTGGTCCTAAAATAAAAGTTTGTCCTCTCCGTGTTGTCTTTCTCGTACAAAACTGGCCATTTTTGCACTTCTTTTATTATATTTAATGGGTGAATTTCTTCTAAAATCTTCTTATTCCTTGGCATCGTCATAACTTCAATGTATTAATCGCGTATCAGAGAATTTACATCTTTAAAAATTACGTAATTAAACTCCTCGGTGGATAGTAAGGTAGTATTCAATACAAAGACAAAACCCCATTAAACGACAAATTATTTTTCTTGTTGCCAAACTTAATTCTATTGCCGAAACTGTTTCAATTACGCACTTCAAATTATATTATTAAGAAGTAATAATCGCGATTTATAAAGTTCTACCGGTTTAAAATTTAATACAACAATACGTGCGTTCGTCGCGTGTCTACTGCACGAGGTCATGCGAAGCGAAACGACGCGGTGCGGGACGCGGTGGGGCGCGGCGAGAACGTGTCGTGGTCCCCTGCCCCTGCCACCCGCACCCCGCACAAGAGCCAGTTAAATTTTACGAATTTATTTCATTAATAACTTCAATACATATTAGGGCTTTAACCGACGATTGTTCTTATATATTCGAGAATTAAGGTCATAAATTAATAGAGATTAATTAGAATTAAAAAAACCTAACAATTAACATACCTGCTGATATTCACCCTTATATATGGGATCCATATTCCACAGTGAGATCGAGGTAAAAAAGCCACACCAAGCTTACTTCATTTCTTCAATTGAAACCTCGAAACATATTAATTATTACTACCTAGTACAATATTGGTTATGCATATCCCAAAATCAGTCAATCTTTTGACCTTGAAATATATTTTAAATTTTCCATAAGACTCTTTGTAATAAGATTTTTATGCTTGCAATTATTGTTTAAGAAAAGTATTAATAAGTCTACACGCGTAAATCTGAAAGAATCGTATTTTGCACTCCCTGCTAAGTAGTAGCAACTAAAACTCAGTTTTCATGTAGTAAATACCACCGGTATGAAATGAAAACTGACCTACGCATTAGGAATACAGCGGATTTGATGACGTAAATACAAAAGGGTTGCAATGATTAATTGAAATTTTAAACAAACAATTTCAGTGATATAGACAATTATATTAGGCCAGCTTAATTAGATTTACCGTGTCTTAAAGTCTAGTGTATTTAGTACTTTCTGAGCTCTAGTAGCCACTAGCCTGTGGTCTGTATTTAAGCGTATAGTAGTGTGAACATGCTCGTGGCGAGCGTACGTGTTTCGCGCGTCCGTTAGAGCTCGCGAGAAGCGGCTGAACGCGACCGAGCGGACCACTCACCACGTACCACAACAATAGTACTACTACCTCAAAAAAATCTACCACCACTGTTCATCCCCGGTTAGTAAATATATCCGGATTTTTTTACGTGAATGTGAATCACATTAAGACAATTATATTCGGTACAATTACACTCGTGTTTTTGGAATGGAAAAAATTGCATTTATTTATACAACAAAAATAACAGGTTTAGTGCGATGAAGGAAAACATGGTTAACTTTACCCTTGAGTATTCTGCTGATTACAAATAAACCCACCGTAAAGTAGTTTTAATACATTCGCATACTTACACTATTATAATTTATAACGAATCGATTGTACTTTTGATAAAATTTATCATCATAAGCGTTATCGAAGTTCATTTAACCATAAATCTTTAATAATCGTAATATTTATCGCAAAAAAATTATATAGTGATATGTCATTTATGGGTGTTGTCTTCTGATTTAGTAGTACTAGTAGTAGGTTTGACATATGGTCGATTTTTGTTTGTTCCTTTGCCGCATGATCGAGTGTTAATAGCACACAGAAAAAACCACATGCACTGCCGAGATGCGAAATCCCGGCCTCAAGGTTGATAGTCGCTTAATCACCAGCCACTACTAATATTACTCACTGGATATATTTTTTGTTACTAAATAAAAAAATAACTTTAAAAAAAAGTCAGTTTTGTATCGCATAGTCTGGACATAAAACGACCACCATTTAAGCCTTGACTTGTTTAAGACATCGCGTAATATACTTAAAAGGAATATTAGGAATATTCATAGCGCTAAATCACCTGCATCATGAGCACACCCCACATACGGTGTGTATCTCACTTTCACACAATCACACAGAGCACAGCCGAATTAGGTATTACGTATTTAATATTTATATATATAATAGTAAATGTTTTAACCTTTTTGTATATATTTCATCTTTAGCCTATTTTTTTATGTAATAAGAGGCAAACATGCAGCAGGCTCATCATGGACACTCACGTTGCCAGAAGTGCGTTGCCGGCCTTTTAAAACTGGTACGCTCTTTTCTTGAAGGACCTTAAGTCGAATTGGTTCGGAAATACTTCAGTGGGCAGATGGTTCCACATAGTGGTGGTGCGCGGCAAAAACTGATACGGATGAAATTTTGTATTCTGCCGTGACGTCCGATAATGAAACTCAGCTGCTGGTATTAGTCCGAACTATATGTTTAGTTAAGTATGACAAGTGTATGTTTGGTTTAATTGTTTTTGTTGTACTTATATAAATTATATTAGGTGATTACGAAATAAATAAATAAATCAAGCGTAAGGAATTCATATGGGAAGCCGACATAATACTAAAGTGCACGTTTGTGACTCAGCAGCGAATGGCTTGCTTTAGTTATTTCTATATTTGCATTCAAAAGTTAATCTCATTGGTAGGGTTGTCCAGAATCATTATCTTTGCGAGTTTTCGTGACGGATATAGGTGCATTAACTTTAGTCCATCAAGTTAATCTAGAAATTACTATTCATTCTTTTGTAATATTAAATCGAGAGCACTAGTGGTGGCAATGCGTGCGATGATCAAGGTGGTCCATTAAAACTATTAATCTTTTATCTATGGTAAAGGTGAACATCGTGGAGGTACCGGCATTTTAAATCCAATATTCAACGTGTGTCAGGCACAGAAGACCAATCACAGACTTGCCAATACAAAGTACAAATGTAGTCTACGGCATTCGATCAATTATTATTATTAAGCCTTTATTGCCGACTCCCAGTAAAATATATTACCACTTATTTAAGCTACACAATAAAACTTAATCTAATACATCATATGACCTGTTTTTGGTAATCAGCCTGTCCGGTGTCATAGGCCTCTTCCAGCTGCTTCCATTATTCTCTGATGTTATTCGATTTTTAAATATTCGATCAATTAATTAATTATTAATATGTATCAATAAAAAAGTTATAACGGACATCAATTTTTGCCAAAAAACGTTTTTAATTAATTTCAATTAAAAGGTCTTTATCACTTCTATTTGACCAAACTGTGCAAAAGCACTATAAACAAATTATAAGCACTTCTAAGGATTACTTTTTGTCGTTAAAGGAAAGTTACAAATCTGTCAACCAATACGTGTGATTAATAATGAATATTGACACTCCTAGTTTTTGTTAACCTTTCTAGTTTGCATGTGTTAGAAGAAAGTGAAAGCCCTAAGATGAGATGTGTGGGCGGATATGAGGCGACCACGGTGACTCATGGCCTGTATCATTGAGGAATAAGTTGTCCTACTATGGTACGTTATTTCTTACGAAAAGGGATCTGATTTAAACTAAATACCGCGATGAGATGAGAGAATCCTGAATCCTTACGGGACTTTTGGATACTATTTACACAAATTCAATCTCGTGTGCGACTGTGACGAAAGAACCGACTAAACGTTGGTTAGTTTACTTGTTGAGTGTGTGTCTTCCGAAAGACCCAGGTTCGATCTGGAGCTTGAGACTGGCTTGTTTACCAGGATGGGCTATCCGATATGTTGCTCAAGCACAGATTGCAGCTGGAAAAATACTGGCAAAGAGTTGTCCAAGCACGATGCTCGAAGAGTTCGAAGCTCGAGCTCGAAGAGTCCGATGAAGAAGAAGACGCCAAGCCAACCAGACCTAGCTTAAGCAAATAAAGTCCATTTTTAAGAAAGGGGAAATTTAGGCCTAGGCCTATTTAGTCCTAGGCCACAAATCTGCCTGGTCGCGTTCCTGATAGGCTGTTAGGGGGTCTATATAATAAAAAATGATGATAAATACTGAACGGTGTGAACGTAGCCCCAACGATGTTCGTACAGTTTGTTTCTTTAATGTTTTTGTTTGTGCGTTGTAAAGACTTGTGTTAAAATTAATGAGCTGCTCGGTGAGGTTATTTCATTTGAGCGTTCGATACTGTCGAAGGTCAAAAGCTTTGCCCTCTCCGGAAGGTCGAGGCTAGCCACCAAGTGGCGACTTCCACTTTCGGCTATGAGATGTAATTTTTAACTAAGGACACAGCATAAGATGTTCAAAATATATTTACGTTGAAAATCAATTATCAGAGTTTATATAGCAGCGAAATGTTTATAAATCCATGTCATCATCTCGAAGTAGATTCCGCATTTCATGTTTATCTTATTACTAAAAATATAGATTTTTTGTTGCCTTGTTGTTTGAACAGAACTAGTAACAAATAGAATATTTAATTGCAATTGAAATGAAAGGTATCAAAAATTTACTGTGACTCGACGCATTCATCAATCTCGCTTATATAAGAATAAAACATATTTCAGGATTATTCCTTTTTACGTCTAATATATATATTAATATACATTTGGTTATCTTTCGCGTAAGAGTCGTAGGCACGTAGATTGTAGACTGAAATTTACCATCGCAAAAAATACGGAAGTGAATTAAAGAAACTTATCTTTCAATAATTTACATAATTATTGATTTTGTTATAATTTTCAGTGATTAGTGTTTTTTTCAACGGAGTATTACAAGCTTCATGTTATAAATAGCCATCAAGAGAGAAGGAATTCTCTCTTAAACTATGTATATTTACATACATATTTAGTTACACATAATTAGGTCGTTCTCGCTATGACACTAATTACGATATGGACATCGATGATGCGTGGCGGCTTCTCGATCTCCGGGAGTCGCGCTCTGAATCCGACGAATACCCACTCCCTCTGTTGCATCCTCAGATCTACTGCATATTATGTTTGTTCACGCGATCCGATGTCTGCGACATTGCAAGGCCGCTCGCTTCTCAAGTGTCGGTTTGCCTTTGTTCTATCTTAAGAAATAGATACTGACCACTGTAGCGGTTTGCAGTTTAATATCAAACCATCAATGTATGTTATGTATAACCTACATTGTTGGGACTATTCGTCTCTTTCCGATTCGTTGTATTTTTGATGTAAATTAATGCTGTTTCAACATTTAATAGCGAAACGTGAATGTTGTTGTATCGTTGCCATGGTAACACTCTACAAAGAGTCTAGTATCGAGTAGAACAGTGGCGTGAGGCGTGTGGGCTCGGGTGCAGTATGTGTGTCAAGAGAGGTGCAATTATACCGATTTTGACCCACTTGCAGGGCGCCGGTAGGTCAACGACCGCGGACCTATCTTTATTGATATATCATTTCTTTTTACAGAACCAACAACAACCTTATATTCCTTAGAATTCTGAACGTAATCAATATGGGCCGTCTACTATTACTTACGTATTCGTATAGGGCATAATAATGATTAATATTTTAGATAAATTGAAAAGGTATCACATAAGATGGTACCTAAAAGACGTAATAAGATATTTGTTATGAATTGTTAGTAGTCTTAAGCGCTATAAATATAGTTGTAATAGATGGACGCTACACCAGTTTGGTCTCCATTTATTTTCGCATTGATATTTTTGGTAAATAATGTATATTGGTGTTGTATTACATGAATTTGTTTAAATTTACATAATAAAGAAACAGTTGAATGTATGTACGGATGTTTTAAAGCAGGCAGGACGAGACGGCGTCGTCGACGTGCATCGCCTGGTGTGGGAAGAGCGTCTCCATCTTTACGACGAGCATCGCCGGCGTTGAGGGAGGCTTTGCGGGTGTTGAGGGACGCCTGGCCATCGCCCGCGCCACTGCGACTCCGGTATACCTATTTAAGCATCACCTTCGCATGAATATTTATTTCACCCTCATCTATCAAAGTTCCCGTCTGATATGGAAAGACTTTTGTTTCATTTTCTCTGTACTAAGATAAAAATCATTTTAAAACAATATTTTTGTAAGGTTTTTAAATAATTTTGATATAGACATAGACATAACATTTATTACATATGAAAACACACACACATAAACACACAAAATAACAATACTCAAAGAAAAAATAAAATAAGACATCAAAGACAATAAAAATAAAAATAAAAAAATCCCTTTTCCCATTCGGTTCGCTTCAAGTGTGCAATGTGTGTGTGTGTGTGTAATTGGCCTTGGCTTACCATTATACTGAGGAGCAGATATCCGATTCCCGCTTATATTTTTACATTATAATAATCTTTTTTCTCACAAGAAATTTACTGAACAAATAAAAATATGTTTCTAGTATTATATCGTTAACACATTCATTAACAATTTCTTCACTTAGTGTACCAAATTGTTATAAAGGACATCGCTTTTGAGAGGTACATACCAGACTAAGTACCGGACCCTCACTAATAAATTTACAGCCTGTCTTATTTAAATTTTTAAGATAATAAAGACTTAATTAATTATTTTTTTTAAGTATTAAGACATCGCTAACCAAGGTTCTGCAGCAAATATTAATTTTCTGCGTCACTTGATAACGCCCGGCTCTCTGCATGTATGTTAGTTGAGACTTATGTGTTTAATTTGCATACGGAGATACAGCACAATAATGAATACACAAAGAAACGCTTGTGAAAGTGTAATTAATGTTTGCATATGCTGTTCTGAAAAATATTCAAGAAAAACATATTGAACTCAAGAATATAAAGACTCAGAATTGTTTTACCTAGATATACATACATAGTAATAATATTTTAAAATTAAAACAAATTTAAATAGTTTGGTCTCTGTGTACTTTTAATGCTGGCAGCATGTCCTCACTGTATTGCGATACTTATTCTTTGAGCGAAGGAAGCACCAGCTCGGGTCACCGGTCTGTCAACGATCAACTTAAATCTTTAATTAGCGCCTGTGCACTTAAACCCCACGGCCCAAGAGTCTCTACTCCAAAGAGAACAAAATCAAAGTTGGAAGACTCTTATATTTGAACCGTTTATTATCTTCTTAGATATTTCTTTTACAATATTTTCTCGGGTTTATTATAGTTTCTGGCCACCAAGAGAGACTAGTTAAGAAAGTGCGCAGTAGTGTAAACTGTCTTTTGTTTTTTTTTTGTTGATATACATTTATTAGGACTTAAATTGCTCGGAAAAAGCTAAGAACAACTTGTCTCAGTTTAGATACACGCTGTAAATATAACTTAGTTTAGAAACGATATTTTATTTATTTTAAGTCAGTGTTCATGACAGCTCATTGTGCTATAATTCTTATCCAATAGTCAATATAACGATGGGTAGCAGTATTCTAAGTACCCTTAAATAGATAAAATGTGGTGGTCGTAGAATGCGAGAGACGCGCGCTTCTATTCCCGGCGCGAACATCTGATCGCAAATAGCTTGCTGAACGAATACTCTTTGCGGCTTTCGACTCGTCAGTCAGTTTCAACTTTAATTCCTAGATTTTATTCATGAAATACATTCGCTGCGTTGTCGTGTACCTTTTATTGTGAACCTTGTTTGGCTGTATGTTTTGTTTGATATTTTGTGAAGATAATATGGTTTATAAACTGTATGATGACGTTGTAATTCGCTGATCAATTACGATAAGTGCCCGTCGCCGGCCGCCACTCAACCACTAATGTACGTTTTAGTGTGCAGGGAGGGGATACACTTAACTTTGCATACTATTTGATAGGTACTATCTAGATGATATGTGACAGCTACATCATCCTAAAGAATTTGTCTATTTACAAACGTTTCTAAATTGCAATCGTTATTTTTAACAAGACACGTCATATATTAAATAATTAAAATTGTCTTTTTTTTAGATTCAGAGGTTCCGGTGACGATCGCAGCACAGGTGCAAGCGGAGAAGATAGTGGTGATACAGTAGAAAACACTGGTAGAGACACATCTATAGATAATCAACGCCAGGCACAGGCTATGTGGTGGGGAGGCGCATCCCCCGGCCTGCTGCGGCGCCGCTACTCCGTTCCCGAGACTATCATGAGAAAGTAAGTTTCCTTATTATGTATCAAAATAATGAATATATGTCAGCGTCTAACATAAATTGATTATATTTCAGATATCGGTTGGCTCAACAGCGCTCTGAGTGGGAAGAGGAAAGTGCGCGGGAGTCGGCGCCGGCATGTGGGCGGTGCACGGGTGAATGCGGAGGCGTCGCGGGGGGTGACATGCGAAAGTCTGCCTTATTACGAGTGTGGGGTCGCGCCGAGCCGTCGCGCTGCCGCTGCGGCGCCACGCGCTCTCTCGATGGATCCCGATGCGAGCTACGACAATCGTCACGCTGCGTTACTCCTAAACGGCCCCGTCTCGATGCTTTGTCACGCTCTCCCGATCCAACCCTAAGACTCACATCTAGTGCATATTCCAATAAATCAACTAAAAGTTCAGAAACAGCGCTATTCTCAACTGATACCAGTTCTAATTTTCGACAGAAAATTCTGCCAAATCCCATTGATGCATTTTCCGAAGAATACTCGTTCACAGAACCGTCTGAGCCCACGTCAATACCAACCGCTAAAGAGATCCCAATTAGAACCAACGAACTACCTGAAGTGTCATCGAGTGGCAGTCACATAGATGGTCGTGTCAGCGAGGACACGCTCAACGCGGAAAATGATGATTGCAATATCCTTCCTTACAACCAGCCTCTGTCCATCGATACACAACAATATGAAATTCTTGAAATCGTGGTTTCGGAGACGCTAAACGTCCAACAGAACCGGGATTTAAATTATGAAGGCGTGTCGAGTCCAGTCAGAAATACGACTATCAGAAGTAAGAAAATTCCAAATATCAATATCGACGAGTATGTATCTAATATATTAGTTGAAAGTTTGAATTCACTTACTGATCAATTAGAGTCAATAAACGCTTCCATGGGATATGACAAAAGGCTAAACATTGTGGAGAAAGAAATCAAAGTAAAGTTACAAAATACGGGGGTAAACACAATTGTCCACCTTAGTCCTACTTCTAATAATCAAATCATATTTGGTAATGAGGAACTCTGTAATAATGATGGGAGACTAGGAATCGAGAATGACGTGAGAAATGAGAGCAGTGTTCATATAAGAGACAGTGCATTGAGCGTTGAAACAAATAATAACCTTACCTCAGCAGAGAGTCTTAGGGATAACAATGGCAACGGTGGCCGGCAGGAACCAGACGGCTTGTTGACCGTTACAAACAATGAATCCGTTAACAAAGCAATTTTACAGCAGATACAGAAACTTTTTAAAGATGAATTTAAAAAGAGTGGGGATGATGAAAGAATTTCTCATATACAAACATCAAACGTTGACATCGATTTAAATAAGAATATTGGCACGCATACAAGTTCTGGGTCCAATAATTCAGCAACTTCAATAACGCAAATGCCTAGTAATTCGAAGTCCTTGGAGGTTTTAGGCGGAGTGGGTGCCAGAAATTATTACGAAGAAGTTGAAGAAAACACGTTAATTCCTAGATTATCAGCTTTACCTCACAGTGACTCCATGGAAGTGAATACGTCATCTTCTGACGACACTGATATGCTGGGGTCGGAGTGCGCCAGCCTTGTTGACAGCCTAGATGACCCCAATTCACCACGCTGTGCCTTTTTACGCCGGAGCCGCGCCTCGATCCACAGAACCGATCTTGTACGGTCAGCTATTGATGTGTTGGACCTCCTACCGGAGAATGCTCAAAATGATGATCATTCTCCCAAAGAAAAGGGTGAGTCTTTTTTCGTAAGAATAAAAGATGGCGATTGTGACTGTGAAAAGGAAAATATGATTGTAGCAGATCATATGCCGGAAACCATTAAGCAGAGATTATTCAGAAGACATAGAAAACGAGAACAACGAATGGAGTGTGTTAAACGGACCAAAGTAAAACAATTGAGAAGAGATGTAAGAAACAAAGAAAACGAAGATTATAAATTTAGAAAAGAAATTGAGAAAGAGTGCTTTGCCATCGTTAATGCGCTCATAGATGATGTTATAGCAAAGATTGTACAAAATGAATACAAGAATTTAAGAATCAAACAGCAGTCAAATAATGTTTTAGCTGCAAAATCCGAAGAGAATTTAAGCAGAAAATCCAATAAAAAAGAGAAACAATCATTGCAATCAAATAAAAGTAGAATGGTTCATTCTCAATCGTGTTCAGAATACATTGACAAGAAATTACAGAAATCGAATCAACAGCAGCATGTCAAATCTAGTGTTGATTTACCACCGACGGTCGTCGAACCGAAACCGAAAAGAATTTATCAAAAATCAGAAATTTATGATGGCAATAAATGTATAGAAATTCTTGAAATATTAGAGTACGCAAATACTTCTCAAAATTCTTCAGATACTACAAACTCTGACGAAAATCATAATAACTTTATAATAAAAAGCAAGAAGTCAAGAATACCTATTCCTGTTTATGAAAGAATTCAACGTTTACCGAAAACCGGCACCCAAAAAAAATATAAAAATGGTTGCTCGCGAAGTCAGTCACCTCAGACGAGGGAGAGAAATCAGAAAACCAAGCAGTTATTGGCGAGTATGCTGTTCGATGCATTTGCGGGAGATTCGGGACCGGTTAAGGACACGTCGCACCGTCGTCCACCTGTACCGTGTGAGCCCCGTGCGAGGTCCAACTCATTACGGTTTCATAATCCCTTCGATATTATACCTGAAGAGAAAAGCAGTCTGAGCATGGACTCCACGGGTGAAGAGTCCGCTGGGCGCCGAGCTTCTGCCCCTAGCCTTGCTGACGACTTGTCTATTGAGCTCAACGAAAAGCCCAAAGCACAAGAAAGACTGCAAACGCCTAAGTTGCCCACCAAACACCTCAAGAATGCCGGAACGTCTCCTATGCCGGAGCTGAAGCAGCCGCAAAAACACGTAGGCACAGCAACATCGCCTAGCCGCAAGTCAGCCGCTACCAGCCCCAGACGCCCACCACCCGCAGCAGGTACCCCAATCTAACCGCTGCTGCACGCGTCTAGCACTCGCCACTGTCGAGCTTACAGCGTTCCTCTGGAACATAATTTTTTGTTTAAGCTAAATATATCACAATAGTTATCGGCACCCAACCACTCCAACATGTAGAACTTTTGCATTTATAAGTCGATTATCGTTTTAAATAAATTATATTATGTGACATCCAGAATCGTTTTATTTTCTTAAAGGTTTCGAAAAACGGAAGTCGGTAACGACACAGTGTGATGAGACGCTAAAAAATATAAAAAGTGACACGGAATCAAATAACGTACGAAAAATTAAAAGTCACAACTGTCTCAATAATCACACAAAAGCACCACAGAAGCAAACGAGACCCAAATGCGAGCGGGAGAAGTATAAAAGTTCAGCACAAAGTGTAGGTTGTGATGCGGCGTCGGAGGAAAGCAGCAGCTCGGGTGAATCAGACGCCGCGCTGGTGCCACCAGGCTGGCTTGCGACGCGTCGCCGACGCCGTGCAGCCCCTGCCACCCGTCTTGGTAAGTCATCGTCACACATTAATTCACAACTCTGGCGGCTCCAAAATCTATCAAGGATTGTATGTGCAGGCGAGTGGGCAGTGACGGTAGCAGGCTCTTGTGCGGCCGCCCTCCCTAATGACGTCGAGATGCGACTACGTTTTCCTGATCCGCGGCCTTCCCATCACAACCCGCAACCCGAATCGCCTCCGCGGCCGGCACATCGTCGCCTCTCGGAATCCTGTACGGTAAGCAAAGTATACGACCATAATTAAGGATTCGGTCCAGGTCAGTAAGGTCCTTAACATTAATGATGTTTTCAGATGGGTAGCGAGCGGGCAAGGCGAGGCAGCGAGCGGCTCACTCTCACGGTCAAGAAGGAAGCCTCAGGTTATTTTTACTAAATTCCACCACAGACTATACACACGGCATCTAATATAGCGTTAAGCAACGACGAAAAAAGTTCAAAGTACATACAGCCTTCTGCAAAGTGGTAAAGTATTTTTAGTTTTACGAATCTTGGACACATTTTAAAGAGTTAATCTATATTTTTGAAATGACTTTAGATTCTTCAGTTGTTGCATCAAAGAGCATGAAGAAATCTCGAGATCTCCTACCAGAGCTGCAGGAGACATTTCGCGCTTCCCGCACTGACACACGGAGCTCTCTCAAGGTACACACACACTGAACACACGTTGTTACGCCATAAATCCCCACCGCTTCTGAATTTGTATGAGCCATATGATATGTAATGTTGCTTGTATACATATTATTTACATCGAGAAGGCGGTTGTTTCAGACTCGGCGGGGATCCTCCCTACACTGCTGGCTTCCGGAAGAAGACTCCGCAAGCATCAGGTCAATAACCTTAATTCCTAAAGAGAAAACCACGTTAATTTAAAGACATAAATGTTTAAAATAGACCACAATACATTTGTACTTCTCTATAATTGTGTGCATTTTTGTGCAGGGCGCGTGGCGATAGTAGCGGATCTCTGTGTGTGTCGGGTCGCGGCATCGTGCCGGTACGCAAGCCGCCGCGTGCCCCTTCCATTAGGACTCGACGCTACCCTTCCGATATGAGATATTAAAATATTCCTTACACTGCCTCCTATTTACTTGGATTTTATTTGTTACATCAAGCACTTATATAAACTATGACATTCAACTTTGTTTCATTTTGAGCTTCCTATAACGTCTTTGTAGAAGTAGAAATAAAAATTTAGGTTATATATCAGATAATACGACTTCGGATTCGACTCTCTCACCACGTAATTGAAAAAAAGACGCACCTAGCTACATATTAAAAAAAAAGTGCGTGCGTACAAGTTACACATGTCAGAATAACTTCTTTGGCAAACTAATTTTTAGGTCTTGTTCATATTTATACAAATCTAAAACTTTAGATTTCCGAGAACATATCTTCCTTCCTTAGAGGGAGGGAAAAAGGAAGATATGTTAGGAATTTAATGAATTTAATTGTCATTAAAATATTAAATCTATCGACAATTAGTTCAAATTATATTTTCTTTTTTCGATAATAAAAACACGTGGCACTTTAATTTACAATTCGTCATTTGAGATTTCAATAAATAATTTAGCATAAATTCTCTTTATGAAATTTTAATTTTAAAAATAGAATTTCTATAAGGTAATTCGACCTCGGTCTCAATCGCTCTCCCCCATTTCTTCGATAAAAACGCTGCACATCTTCGTGACGCTAATATTGCGTTTCATCCGTAAAAAAATTTACCCTCATGCGCCGAAAGAAGTTTCAAAAGAAAAAAAATCATTTAATATGCAGCAAAGGCACAAAAAATAAATTAAGACTAAGTGTGTATTTTTATGTTACAATATTGCATAAATTGCGGTTAATAAATAAAATATGCGCAACCAAAGATGAAACCGGTCAAAGTATATATCGTGGAAATTCCGAATTCCTGGTAATCAGTATTGCAATTAATTTTACTTCAGGCGTTCGAGATTGACTGTGGGGCTTAAAAAATATATAAGTTAAAATTGATTGCAGTTTATATTCAAAAAGCCTTTTCCAATATTTTAAATCCTAATTAAGATAATATTATTGTACTTGACAAATTAAAAAAATAATAAGACGATATAATATGACAAGTCCTCTCGGTGGCTCAAAATTGAGCTACACTTTTCTTAAAAGAAAGGATGCGTGTACTTATGTACGCGCGTAAGAAGTTATACTTCTTTGGCATTATTTAAAATAGTTTTTGATTGCCTGCAGATGATTAATTACAATTAAATAATCAAAGACTGGAAAAGGAGTCATTATAGTCATTAAAGTTCAGTTTACATTTGAAAAATTAAATAAATAAATATTTATTATTATTCTCTTACATTAAGTGTAACATAAATTCTATTATTATTCGAATTTTATTTTTAAATTATGTCCAATGCCGTAGCATCTTCCGTGGGCAACTTCATTCTGTTAATTTTGTGTCACGGTGCGCGCGCATTGTAAAATTTCACTGTCATAAATTTTTCATAATGCGCCTAAAGAAGTATAACTTAAAAAAAAAAACTGTTGAATTATAAATTTCTTTTAAGTAGACTAGATTGATATTTGTTCTAGAGTCCCTTTAATAATATTTTATGAAAGGCGTAACAAATTTGTGGAGCTGATTGCTGATACGTGATAAGCGAGTTAATTGTCATTTCGCAATAGCGGATCACGTATGCCAGTGCCACTAAAAATTTGTGTCTAAGAACCTAAACCTTTTTCTAAGTTAATTGTAAAGCGCATTGTAAATTGTTATTTAACTAGTAGTTACCTAATTGTTGAAATTTGCTGTTTTAAAGCACGTCTCGATTAAAAACCTAAGTATTTGTTTTCTCGCGTTAATGGTTCATTTTCATGTATAACAAGAGTTTTAGAATTGCCGCTAATTCACAAAAACAAATGACAAATGAATGCAATATACAGTATATTATAGTCCTTTTCATGAAATAAGTCCCCCAGACGCAGCGCTGTAATCGCGTGCCGTAATGTTGCCAGTTATGAGTAAAAAAATTACCTATTTTACATTTAGCATATTTAATTTATCAAATAATACTATTTTCTGCATACTTCGATGAAACAATATTTCTGTTATTTAAAAAGTATATTTTTATTTATTTATATAAGCGGTGTTCTGCCTACTTACAGGGATAAGACGAGAAAATAGGGTAATGAAAAGCATTACAATTTTTTATTCAGAGTTTTATTGAATAATTGTGATCAGCGGCCATAGAAACATCACTATCTGAAGAGTGGATGGACTATGGAATATGGCCGACTTGTCAAATTTAGTTCCAAAAATCTCCACGGGACTTCTTTCATGAAAAGGACTCTATAGTGCTTTTCATGAAAGAAGTCCCGCGGTGATTTTTGGAACTAAATTTGACAGGTCGGCAATGTTGTCATTCGTCGATGTTATCAAGTTCGTTTGTTGTGGTAGATTTTTGTGAATTTTTAACTAGCTTAGTGCATTTTAAAGATTGATTACAATGCAGAAAGTTGTAAAAAGTTCGGATTGATAAATGATAGTAAAGGTGAAAGAGTTCTGTGAAGCGGAACATAAGAATCCAAGGTGTTTTAACACCACTAAACAATGTTCGGAAGAGAGTTGCCGCCATAACAGGTACTTTTTAGAGTTGCGACAAAATTGAATAAATACATAACGTGATGAAACTAGGTAACTGAAATTAAAACATATATTACATAAGCATTATAAACTTAAAGTTATTATTATTTTTAATTGTTTATAATTTAATTGCAGGTTTGTCAGAGAAAACTGTAACAAGAATTACAAACGAAGGTATAACAGCGGCGTGTACTTCGAAAAAAATTGTAACCCAACAATTATGCAAAAAAACTCTAAATAAAAAATTGTATTGCTTTTCTTTACCCTATTATGTATCTTATCTGTTCCCTGTAAGTAGGTAGAACACCGCTAATATAAGTAAATAAAAATAAACTTTTTACATAACATAAATATTGTTTCATCGAAGTATGCAGAAAATAATATTATTTGACAAATTACATCTGCTCAATGTAAATAAAATAGGTAAATTTTTTACTCATAAATGGCAACATTACGTCATGCGATTGCAGCGCCGCGTCAGGGGGACTTCATTCATGAAAAGGCCTATACATTAGGTTACCAAAGATTTCTAAAATTGAAATTCAAAAAAGTTTTCATTAGCAAGGTTAGTTTCTAACTGGTCAGTTCTAAACATTTTCAGTGTTACCCACGTATAAGAGAGTAAAACTCAAATGTGTTGCAAAAATATTTATTTTAAGAAACAAAATTTAGAGTTTGTTATTTCAGTTGAAAATCTGACAAAACTTGTATCCTATTTCTTTTATAATGAATTTAAAAAGTACTCCCAACAAAAACTTTTTATTCAAATTAAAAAGCCTAACACATATAAAGACATACAAAACTAGCGTCTTTTCCACAGACTAACAAGCAAAATTAAAATGAACATCTGTAGTAACAAAATAGATAATTGATAACCTATTTTAAGAAATATAATTATTTCTTTACATGTATATAACGTAACAGAAATAAGATCTATAAAGTTTCATGCAATACCAGTCTATCAATCTAGCTAGACACAGCTAATCTTCCTAACTAACATAATAATCAAAGCTATTATACCTATTACAATTACCAATCTATAGTGCGTTTCACGAGAAAGTTCCCTTCGTTATGAAACGTGGGTAGTTTTATCCAGTTTCCCATCCCACGGAGCGCGAATAAACATGTATCTTTAATCCAAATGTCCTTATAATGAAGATAATTTATCTGCAGTAGTTTACCCCAGATTTTAGTGATTTGATTTCTTCAAACCGTAGCAACACTGATTTTAGTTCTACCAACCTAACGGCGAAGGGAACTATCTCGTGAAACGCACAGCGCACTTAGCACTATACTGTATCCCTGTAAATGTTATGAAGTTCGTTTGTTGTGGTTGATTTTTGTGAGTTTTTAACTAGTGCATTAATTTAAAGATTGTTTACAATGCCGAAGGTTGTAAAAAGTTCGGCTCGAGAAATGATATTGAAAGTGAAAGCGTTCTGTGAAGAGGAACAACAGAATCAGGGTGTTTTAATACCACTAAACAATATTCGGAAGAGAGTCGCCGCCATAACAGGTACTTTTTAGAGTTGCCATATAATAATTTTTTGCTGTATTGATGGGACTTTTATGATAAAAATTCATTATTGCGATAAAATTGAACAAATACATAACGTGATGAATCTAGGTAACTGAAATTAAAACATATATTACATAGTACATAAGTATTATAAACTTAAAGTTACTATTATTTTTAATTGTTCATTATTTAATTGTAGGTGTTTCAGAGAAAACAGTAACAAGAATTACAAAAGAAGGTATAACAGCGGCGAGTACTTCAAAAAAAATTGTCACTCCGGGAAAGAGTCGCCCGCGGCCGAAAAAGTTCGACTTAGACGGGTTCGATTTGTACGCTATCCGGCAAACAATTCAGAGTTTTTACGTTGTGCATAAAGAATTACCATCATTGGCTAAATTACATGCAGCTCTGAGGAAAGACATCAATTTTCAGGGAAGCGTCACAACATTGCACAGGATATTAAATAGGATTGGTTTCAAGTACAAGCCATGTCAATCCAGACGCAAACTACTGATGTAAGTTTAAAATTTCTCACTTAACAACATAGTACAAGGAAAATTTTAGTCATTTGAAATGATTTAATAATAACGTTAGTAATTTGGACTTACTGCATGGGTCATAAAAAGCGCTGCGTCTGCGGGCAGTGTTGCCAGATCAGAAGATATCCCCCTAGATTTAGGGGTTTCTCAAAAAAGCTAGGGGCAGAATAGGGGGAATGAATATTTGTGGGGTTTTTTAGTGGAAATTTCAAAAATTCGCCAAATATAGGTTTTTTGCTATTGTATATCACGTTCCTGATTTTGGAACTAAATTGATGTATTGACACATCGTAAGAATAGGATCCGTGTGGCTAACCTTACTAATTGTATAATCGTTTGAGCTGTCAAAGAACGATGTGATTTTAATTTAATACAAATTC